TGTACATATATATAAAATATATTTTAAGTTTTTCTTTGTATTTTATATTCATGTTTTCTATGTTCTTTTTCTACTATATCCACCTAGTTTAATGTGCTGCGTAGCCAATTGTTTAATCAGTTCAATTCGAAATGTTGTAAGCCCTTTCGTCATTGTTCCCATAAATGAGTCGCCAAAAGATATAAAAAACAAATGTTAAGAGACAATTAAAGCTTTACACATGAATTAAGACTCGCAATAAATGCTGATTCGAATAGATGAGTTTTACATGTATTTTTTTTTTATAGCTGCGCTGTGCCACATAGGAAATACAAAAATCAGCGAAAATATAAATATGTATATATATATAATATATTTCACAAGCTTAATTGGCATGACAAACAAAAAAAAAAGGGAGAAAAAAAAAACAAGCTGATGATATTTCTTGTCAATTTTTTCCCGCAAAAAAAGTTTGACTTAAATAAACCCAAAAAGAGTTAAGAGCAAGAGTAAAAAGCAAAGACCAAACCCAAAAGTCGATTGCATAAATGGCTTAGCAAACCAAAGCAAAGACTTGGAGGGCGAGCATTACGGCGGGGTTTTATTTTGTGTGATTCAATTTTGAATATTTAACAGGGCAAAGCGTGAGAACTGCCTTATAAAGCAATCATATTTTATTTTTTTGGCCAATAAGGTGGGAAATTTTTGGCTAAGTCTAAGGCAGACCCAAAGTACGCAATCGCCGTGGCAACAACAGCTGCCACACAGCTGGTGCCACAATTTTTATTATTATTATTATTTATTTTTTTTTAGCCAATTGTCGGATCTTATATAATTGTTATATAGTTCCTGGGTGAAAAAAAAAATCATTCAATTGCCAATCACATGCAAACGAATCTATGCATAATTTTTGAACTGATATCCGGCACGCTATGTAGATACACTTTGATTTATGAGTATTATGGAAACGATAATGAGCTTGGTTTTGTGCATAATTGAGATGTTGAGTATAAGAGCTATAACATATATTTATATAATTAAATTTATGTATGTATATACAATGATTTTGCAACAGGAGATATTTTTGAAACTAAAAATAAATTTTCTCAAGAATTGAGAATAAAACTTATGAGACGTAACCAAAGTTTCCTTTTAGATTTCAATTGAAATTGGTTTGTTAAACTTTTCCAAAATTTATAGTGTAGTAGTGGCGTTTCTTTTCTATGAAACGTTTTCTAAATCTAGGATAATTTTGTCAAGCATTTGATAATCTCCTTTTTCTTTAACTTAAACCAAACTGAAATAAACTCGTACTAAGAGCACTTCATATTCGTTAGCCCCCAAATATATTTCTCCC